GTAATGTTTTCGTCCATAAATTTTTCAGTATTAAAATATTCATCAGATTGTTGGTTCAGTTAAAATAGTGCCCATATAAAAAGAAATTGCATCAAATTTCAAGTATGTACCATTAGCCATTTTTTAAAATATCATGCGCGCAAGGTGGAAACATGGCGGAATATTTTGTCACAAAGAGGATTAAATTAAAAAATATTTGTGCAACACAAACTTTGTGGTTACTAGTTTCCAAACAGCTATATTATGTAGTCAGCTGTAAAAAGTTGGAAGTAATTGCTTTTAAAATAAATAAAATATCCCAATTCTTGCAACAGTCACATATTCGAAGATCATGAGGGGTTTAAGGTGTATGAGTCCCCTTAAAATAAATCTCTGAACTGTGTATTTCAAAATTAATCATCCTTATACGATTCTTACGCTATAATGGGGCAGGTACTTATATAACGTTTCAGCTACCGGAATACTGGAATCTGCTAACTGAAACTCAAGTTAACCAATTAAATAAAGTTGAACGAATATGATTTACATTGGCCAAACTAGGAGAGCCTTAAAATTTCGCGTCAAGGAACATGAGGCATATGTTAGAAAAAAGGAAACACAAAAGTCTTCTGTTGCTCAACATTGTTGGTCCGAAAATCACACTTTCAATTTTTCTGCTACCAAAATTATTCAAAAAACATCTTCCATTGGAGAACTGGATTTTCTAGAGGCATTTCACATTCATAAAAATCTTTCTGTTCTAGTTAACGATCCTAATTCCAATCCCATCTTTGCCTTCGGCCTTTAAAGAATTATTTTTAGTTCTGGTTTCACCGACAGATGGCGCCACTTGCTTATTTTTGTCCAGGCTTTCTTATCTTATCTAATCATTATTTCCTATCTTGTTCATTTGCGGTTTTGCAGCTAAGGATGGTGGTTCGGTGAAACCATCGAAACTAGTCCTGTGAAAATTTTGAAAATATAACGCTGATTTTTGTTGTTTGACTTCTGAATTAGTATTTATTCGGCGTGTTATTGTGTCTTAATGAATCAGTCTTTTCATGTCTTCGATGTTTCTTAGAGTATATTCTGTGCATTCCTTCTATAGCTTTTTATCTTGCAATCTTACTGTCCACACCTGTATTTTCTTTCTTAAGATGTGAAAAATGTAAAAGACATCGATGTAACTAACATTTCAAGAATGTGGCACATATTGTGCCGTCTTACTTGTGTGTGTTTTCACCAGAAATGTTTTGTTTACAATATAAGAAAGTATTCAGATGACCAAGCCTATATTCATGGATCTCCATCATCAGTTTCTAAATTATCATATTGCTGCATGCGTACGGGTTAGTAATAAATTGAATGCACAAGTCCGATGAAAAGTGAATAAAATTTATTATTATCACAGCGAATTAAAACAAAATGCTTAAATTTCCTTAGAGATATTCTTACAATCTCGCAATATCTCACAGTAGTTATCTTTTAAACTACTGAAAAGTTCAACAGGACTTAATTCAAAACAGAGAAAACTAATTCGATTCCGCCGCAAATTCGCTACAAACATTAACAGCCATAAGTAAACAACTGTCTTCTAAACAACTCGTAAAACAACTGAACTGAGATGTTTTCCTCTAGCTTTTTATAAGCTTTTTAAATGCGCGAGCACATTCTCGTATTTTCTCGATTTTTCTGGATAGGAAAAGCAATTATGATATATCTATTTATTAAACGCGCGTGCTCCTGTATGTTTCATTTTTCCAGCGTAGCTTTCTCTTCAAATTTGTCGCGCACAGAATGGCGCGGGAAAATGAAACAATTTAATAACATTTGTATTGAAAATAGCAAAATTAAATACAAAATCCGTAACAGTATATATATATATATATATATATATATATAATGGGATGATTTGAGAATTGCTGTAATGGATTACTGCGTAGTTTGAATGATGCGTAACGGTGAAGAAAGAACTAGCAGACGTGGCTAAAGAACCACCACATAATTTATTTCTGGAGGATTAATTCTTGTAGTATATATTCTTCACACATCTATTTGATACCATTTGACAAAAACATGAAATAGAGTGCCTGATCACGTATGAAAATCTGAAGTAAGCTGAAATTAAATTCCGCGGAGAATGAAGCTGAGACCATGGGTAGAAAGGAAAGGGAATTTATTCATTACTTGGAAACCCAGGAAGTTTGTAAGAAGCTAAAACCATTCTGCCTATGTTATACTGTGGTGTAGAGATCAGCATATGAGATAGAAGGCTCGAGTTCAATTTACGACCAGGATACAATTGATTTTTCAGACTGTTTGCTCCAGTAAACTTAAGGCTTCTGTAATGACATCTGAACTAAAATGTGTTGTAAATAACTCATTGTTAGCTTGATTTTTAAGACTAAGATTTACTTACTATCCACGGATGACATTTTTGCACCGAGGTTATGTACATGATTAAAGATATTCTTGTTTCTTATGGTGTAATGGCCATTGGCTATTACAACACAAAAGCACCTGTCAGAGTTCTGCTTAGTACAAACAAGTAACCATGTTTGTTTTCCATTGAAGGCAGAGATGATTTTCCTCTCCATGAAACCTATTAACTCAACAAGTTTAGGCAGTTTCTAGTAATGACGGTTGAAAGTACTTAGAACATGAGTTAATTACTTATCATATATATCCTATATAGCCTTTTAGCCTCGGTATAGAGCAGAAGATATTTAAATTGCAGTTTAGTTTTGTTACTAACTACAAGTTGTTGACTTACAGTTAGGATTTATAAAGGATGTACCATCAAGTCATTAGTTCGGACTTCTCTAAGTTGATAACGTGATTTAATACTATCGAAATCTCCCGGATAGAAGAGAAAACACGTTTGCCTTTATAGCAATTTTTATGTTAAACATCTTGGGAACAAAATATTATATTTTTAACATCTAGAATGCTTCCACGGACGCAGAATTCATTTCTAGATCTAACAACTTGAGTTCCTTTAGGAATTTCCCATTTTCACCCTTAAAAAAGGACAAAAGGATCCATTGAAGCCTCGGATTTAACTCTTTTTCTGGTCATTAGATTACACTGTCGAGAACTACCCCTAGGAGATGGCTAAAGTGCTTAGCTCTCTTCTCACTGAAAACGAATCTCGTCAATTAGATAGGAGTTTAAATACATATGTTAGATATATAATAATGTATTTAAACTATTATATTAGATTAGATATTGCATATATATATATAGCATTATTCTAACGCTACTTTGACATAAAATTGAGCATTTCTGAAATAACATACTAATTTTTTCTATTTGGATTCTACGACCCAAATGATGCTAATGTGCATGAGTAGTTTTTAAAAAATTAGCTCTCAAATTTATGTTAATTGAATTTGGTATATATTTATTAAACTTACTTGATTCCTTTTTTCCTAATTCGAAATTTAGGTTCAATCCAATTGCAATTCACAAGTATTTTCTGGTTTATTTTTTACATTTGTATACTTTTTTTTTGTAATTTTTACAAATTTTACGAAATATTTTTGAATTATGAATTATAAAAATTCTACCATAAAATAGGCCACCTTAAATTAGATGTATTTCTAGGCTTACGCGCCAAAAAATATTCAAAATTTCCCAAGATGTGTATGAATTTATATATTGGAGAGTTCTGAAATTTGACATATTTGTTATAAGCGATAGTAACGGCAAATGTGGTTCACGCACTATGTTAAAATTACTTAAAAGAATGAATAATGTACTTTTTTATCTGTTGAGAAGAATGAAAGGAAAAGTAAGGCAGGTTACCATAAATCAAGAATTTCGCCAACTGATTTATTCTTGGCGCAAACTGAAAAAAATAAATAATAAAGACAAATTTTTGAGATAATCAAGATAAATTTTTAAATTTCTAGGTCAATTTCTCACTAAATTTTGCAAAAGTTAATATTTAGGCATAACTTGAGTCGTAAAATTGGGATACGGAAAAAAATCATTATATCATGTTAGAAAAAGTCCAGTTGTGTGCCAGAATACCTATGTTAGAACAATGCTATATATAAATCTAATACATATATCTTAAGTTGGTTTTCGAGATATGAAAGCGCAAATTAAAATTTCATCAATCGGTCCAATGGAACAGAAGACATAACTTTTTTTTTCCCCTCAGACTGTACGTCGTTCTACACATGACCAGGCTGTGTAGCCCAGCAGCTTAAAACTATTCATGTGCTCACCTTAATAAAAAAATCCTTCTATTTGTGTCGCCATCCCTTTATTTGTGTTTATGCTTTTTTTTTGTGTTGTTATTTGTTTATTTGTGTTGTCACACTTTTTATATTCACTACTTTTATTTCTATAAAAATAATACATGGCGAAAACACTTGGTGGCAACATCCTTTAATCTGAAAATTGATACGGACGCAAAATTTATACAAAATTTATACGTTTAAAAAGGTGAGAATCGAGAGTAATAGGATTTCTGGTACTAATAATTAATAGAGTGATAAAAATGAATGAAATTGTGTAAATGTAAATATAAATATTAGATAATTAAGTTAAAATATTGATAATGATAAATTTTCTGGTAATACTGAGAATCAATTTACCAAAAATGTGCTGAAACTCATTTCATTTGGGGCTGTGGCGAATTTAAACCATAGCCTGTCCATCACGCTCAATTATTGCTATTAAGACTTCATTCAAGTCGACTGAAGATAAAAATTTTACCATCTTGAAGAAAATTGCGGTGTCAATTAAATACACTCATAAAATTAAACTTTTAATTCTCTGGAGAAGCAATATTAGTAGACAAATCATGCTTAAGATTATAAGAGAACAAACTGAGATTTTAAAATTTACAAAATTTAGCATTTTCGATCGAGATGAAACTGAATTATTTTAGAAGTAGAATTAAAAAAAAAAAAAAAAAAAAAAAAAAAAAAAAAAAAACCTGTAATTGCAAACGTAAATAACTTTTAATATGCTTCCGGTAACATTTAGCAAGAAAGGCAAGTTCTTACCCATAAGCCAGGATATAAAGACCACCTCGTTCTTCTATGCATTGCAGTTTTTCGCATTGCTTTTCATCATACCACACGGATCCCACAGAATAGCTGATTGAGTTATCATCGATGCATTCATCTGCGTAAACAAATGAAAAATTAAACAGTTTTTTTTTTTTTTTTTTCAAGACTGACAGTCTAATCGACAGAGAAATTATCTATTTAAATGCATCAATTAACTTGAATAGATTATTACAGTATGCATTCACAGCGACGTCCTCGAAAATTTGAATGATAAGGAAACTATGAATATTATCCTCCGAGTGAAGGATTCTTCAGTACAGTAATTACACCAAGCAAATACAGTATAACAGGAGTCGAGAAACTTTTTTGGTGAGGGTCAAAATGAACTTAAATGTGTGTATTAAGAAGACGTTCCGGGTCAATGGTATCTGCATTTCAGAACAGTCTTTCCTGATGAATAATACGATAAATTTTGAGAAAAATTTAGGATACACTTTAAGTTTAAAAGTAAAAATATAATTCTAATTATATTTTTAATTATCATAAAAGCAAGCATAACTAGATGAACTTTATTTTTCTCTTTGATGCCAATAATTTCGTTAATTATGAGCTTGTGACGTCAATTTATTCAAGTCTTAGCTTATAGTTAGACGTCTTAACACGAATGAAAGCATCCCAGTTTTCGATTCTTAAATTTCTCCTGTTCTTACTCAAAACGAATTTCATGTGTGAAAATATTTGCTTGCATTTACAAAATGAACTGAATGATAACAAAATGCCCAAAACAATTTTTTTTACTACTGAATTCCTGTACTAATGGCAACCCTGCCTTTCTTGCCAGTTTCTGGCAACCGTAACCCGGCTTTGCGGGGAAGCTATCTTACCGCAGCTGGGCTTTTGTAACAATATTTTATTTGACCTTCGGTTTTTTAATAATTTCGAATAATGTTTTATAATTTAACACTGGTTTTTGTTTTGTTATTTTTTGTATGTGTACCTATTGCTTGCCTCAAACAAAAGATACATACCATTACTAACAATCTAACGAGTTTGTCACGTTGAAATGTAGGGAAGTGGAGGGTAAATTTGGCGAACGAAAATAAGGTTTCATAAAGGAAAGGCGCTTATCAGTATTTCACACGAAGGCGCCAAAGATAATGGATGTGAATAAGAGTGGCGCATTCCTGACTGGATTTGAATAAGCTACGTATATGAATATTTTTATCCTGTCCAGCTGTAATGAATCCGAGTACATCGAATCTGTTATATATTTCCTGTATACTGTATAAAATCCCTTATTTTCGCGAGGCTTTAATGTTCGCGATTTTCGCGAGCACGTCGTAATCGCGAAAATTTAAGCCTCGCGAAATACTTTTTTTTTTCTTCCGCCTCAAATAATAATTGCACAGTTACAAGCTTTCAATTACACCCAAATTTAATGATTAATTGCACGTTACAAGTTTTGCTTGACAAATTCCTTCTTATAACTATTTTTTGTGTAATATACAACTATATTTCTCAAATATAAAACAATAAAATTAAGACAAGGCAGCTCATTTACTTAAATTACTATTTATACTAGCTTTCTCTGAAGCTATTCAAAATTATATCATGTTTGGCTTCAATACCGTTAAATACGCGCACAAGCCAAGAAGCAGGAATCGGTTTTAGTCGTGATATTCGCCAAGTCCACAGATTCTTTTTCCTCTAGAAATTGAAGCTGATTACAATACCACTCAATAAACTCATTCTTGAGCAAACGCTTGAACTCGCCATTTAGACGGGAACGGGGGGGGGAACGAACTTTTCGAACAAAAGGAAGTTTCTTAAAGTGCTTTATGCAAAAGATGTACTTCTGGAATTTTTCCAATTTCTCAACTTTACTTAGATACTTTTGAAATTGTCCAACTTTCGGTTCTGTTCATATAAAATTCGCGAAATTTTTAACTCGCGAAATCACAGATATATTCATTTTCGCGAAACTTACGGCCCTCTAAAATAAGGGCCTTTATAGTATACAAAAGAGTGCAATTTACAAGTTCATCATTAATCATTAAAATTTCATTATTAATATTTAAAACGTTATTTTAGGTGCAGATGATAGATTATACAAGATGCAGAGTTAGAAATTCAGCAATCTACGTATAATACGCAATCAAATCTGGATCTTAATGGATATCAGAATAGAATTATGACCAATCTCTTCTCATATTTATGATCGCGGGACAGAAATTTATTAGTTACGTGCAAACAATAACATCGACTGGGGACATTAATAATGAAAAGGGAAGTGCATTTGTACCACGACTTAAAAAATTCTGGTCGTTATTTATGTTAATAACATCAGCTCGTAACGCTAGTAATGAAAGGAGATTTATGAACCTAATTCTTTCCGTTCTGCAATTCATATCTCGAAATTAGTTTTCCATTTTATCTTGCCAAAAACCTTTTGATCCGTTCCCAGACTTGGAAATTTTTAAGAATATAATATGTATTTGTATAGAAATTATTAGTTTATTTAAGAAATCATTGACTTTACCTTTTTTGTGGGGAAAAATTATTCAAATTTAAAAAAATAAATTTCTTCTGATTGATTTTATATTATCTATGTAAAATATAAAAAATACGATAGTTTTGCTCTACGCGAACAGGCAACCTACAATTAACTTTCCGCAATTTTTCCCTAGACCAGTACTTTCGAGAACATTTTAGCATGTTGTATAACCGCTGGTATAAATACCGAGTGCGCGCCATTTTTCGTCCGACTTTTTCTTTCTTCTACTGCTGCTACCAGACCTTGCTGCTGCGCTTCCCATCTAGCTTCCCTTTGTCAGAACAATTATGACGTAGAAAGTCTAAATTTAATCTTACTTAGTTTAAATCACTGTTGAATATGAAATTTGGAGAATTTCACCCAAAGGAAAAATTATCTGCGGTAAGAATTGAAAAGACGTGGAATATAAAAAGCTAAAGCCTTCTTTGTCGTCATTTTGCAGCCTTCCACTCAGCCAGAACAATGTCCTGACTATGATGTAGTTATATCTTCAAGCTTTGTTATTTCGGTGCCTACCTGCCAAAATATTACATATATATATATATCTTTTTAATTTTATTTTTTTAGTCTTTTGAGGAAGGAGGTTTGAGAAATATGCAAAAGGATTATTCTGCCATCTATTTAGCATGTTCTAAAACGATTAATAGCATTCTTATTTCAGATATTGGTTACTCCAGAAACTACGGCTTGATATGGATGCTGCATGCTAAACAGTTCATCTTATTCTGTCATGTACTGCAAGATTTTCTTGATATCTCTAGTTTTTATTGCTCCTTTTATAAGGTATTTTCTCCCTTCTTTCCGCATATCTCCGTGATATAATTGGAAGCATATTCGACGCGAAGTCAAGAGGACCAGGTTTCGAGTTCCGGCGAGGCTACTGCACAGGCTTCACGTCTCCTGCTTCAAAAAATATAACGACTCTCCATCTTTTTATTGCTATTTTCTTCGTCCCTGAACACATATGCTTTTCTTTTTGCTTTCATCTTTTTCGCTTTGGTTCTTAAATCCTCTAGCTCTTCAGCGGTCAGCTCAATGCTATGTTCCTTTACCAACTTTGCTGTATCTGCTTTGTTAAGAATTAATATAATGACTTTATTATATTAATTCCTTTTCTATGTCCGTCATTTCTCCGTGCAGTTGCTCTCAGTTTAATTTTATGGATGGTAACGCTCGTCTACATAGGGCTAATCTAGTGGATGATTTAACGGAAAACGAGAATGTAAGCCGTATGGACTGGTCAGCAAGATTTTCAAACTTACATTATTGAATATATCTAGAATGCTGTTGGGAGGGCAATTTCAACTCTTTCTTTTTTTCCCTTGCCTTTCCCTGAATCTTTCAGGACCTAAAAATGATGCTGCAAAAAGAATGGGACCGACTGTCACAGGAAATCGTAAACTGTCTCATTTTTAATATGAAGTCATGTTGTAAGAATTATATGACTATTAGAAGGGACCGTATCTCTAATAGCCTCTTTTTTGTTCGATCTTGCGACCACTGTTTCAGACCTTCTGGCATCAGTGAACATTATACATGATTATGCATAAGTACCATGACTGTAGTAATGGCATATTTTCCACCTTGCATTTTATTAGTCTGCGTTTATACCAGATTTCATTAAAATTTATCCATCAGGTCTGCAGGTAGTCGGCAAAATGTGAAAACCTTAACTTTGAACACCAGAGTAGAAAGTAAGCGTAACTCTGTAACAAAACATCAGATCAATTATATTTTAAAGAAACATCTCCAAAATTGCGAAAAAAAGAGAAGGAAATAGAATAATGCTATATACAAAAAACAACAACAACAACAAAAAAAAAAAAAAAAAAAAAGGCAGTAAAAATTCAACTCATTGTGATTCATATTGACCATTGTTATAAATGGAACTTTTTAAAGCTAAATTGTTCATATACGTATAAGAATTTATTTACGGTGGTAAAATGTTATATTTAATTGCTTCCAAAATAAGTTCCTGATAGATTTTTCAGTTAATTCCTAATCCAAATTTCTATGGAAAGGATATTTTAAATAAACATCTCTGAAATTGAGAAAAAAAAAAAAAAAAAAAAAAAGAAAATTAGAATAATGCCGTATACAGACGCAGCATTAAAAATTTAACTTTTTATGATTCATATTGTCGATTATCATAAATGGATCTTTTTTAAACTAAAGTGTTCATATATAAAAATTTATTTACGACGGTAAAATATTATATTTCACTGATTGCAAATTAAGTTCCTGATAAATTTTTCAGTTAATTTCTAATCCAAATTTCTGTAGAGAAGAGTGAAGATATTTTGAAGGAAAATTAAACATGAAATAATGAAAGCACATAAATTAATTAAACGCGTTTAATAAAATGTTTCAAAATTCTTTTGAAAAGTACATTGCATTTTTATTAAGACTCCTCTATGTTAGAAAATTTAAATGTAATATATTTTCTACATTTGTATTTTTTTATCATCCTTTTAACTATTTAGTTTAACTGTAACTGCTTTTGAGTTACCTGACTAAATTAAGCCATATTTCTTAATTAAAAAATTAAAAAGTGTATTATTTTCTGAAAAAAAACAAGTTTATTATATTAAAAATTTTAGTGTTTTATCTCTAGCTATAACTTCAAAATTCTTCTAAAATATTCCAAATAATGGACATTTACAAAATTTTGAAAATGAAATCCAAACCTTTTCGTTTTCTGAAATAATCAGTTACACATTTTTATTCTTCGAAAGCTAAATTTTTGTTCCTGGTTTCAAATCGCATACTGTAAAATTAATGAAAAACATTAAATACACGTAATTAAAAATCTAAATTTAGAATTTATTGTGATATTAATTTTAGGCTAGGAAATTCTTAAAGAAACGAAATTAATTGAATTGTATGTACTCACTACCAAATTCTATTGGTACCATGTATGTATATCCATGACAGCTTACGAATAAAATGACAGCTGAAAGAACACAGCAAGAGCATACTCTCAATAATTCCTTCATTTTGCACGAAATACCTGAAATATTTGAAAACACTCTTTTATGCAAGTTGAATGTCAATGCTTTTTACTAGTCTCCGAATAAAGAACTAACTAAAGATCATTAGAGTCATATTTCTCTTCATTATTAGTAAAAAAATAAGCAATGTCTTACCATGCTTTTGGATTATATTGTTACGAAATGTACAGGCGCGGCAAGATGGCTTCCCCGCAAAGCAGTTTTAGGGTTGCCATAAAATAGCAAGAAAGGCGGGGTTGCCACATTTGGCTAGAAATCACCCATTTGGCGACAAAATTCGCGATATAACATAGACGGATGGAGAACCTTCTGGAACGAATTCTTACTGGATTAGCCCAGAATGTTCTCGAACACAAACCGAAAGCTATATAAACCCTGCTGGCCCACAATCGGAGAGAGCTTCTCGTCGAGAGGGCGAATGTGTGTGTCTCGTCTAGCGAGTCAATCCCTGCGGAGTCGATCGAGTTGACAGCCGGGCAGCGAGTGCCGAGTGGGTCGTCGAGTGCACCGAAGGAGTCTGTTAGTGTATCGCGGTTAGTGCATCGTCGAGAGAGCGTGTTGAGCTTCGGGAACGACTGAACCGAAGATTCGGGAGCTGTGCTCGTGTGTCGTCGAGTGCATTCCGAGTTGTAGCATGGAGGGTCTCGAGAGTACGTGGAGTTCCAAGAACGACCAAGCAAAGTCGGGAGCTGTACTCCGGAAAGCAGAGTCGGATGTTTTGCAGGAAGTTGTCTCCACCGTGATAGCCTGATAATCTGAAGGCTGTGTCGCTGATCGTGTCAGCGCATTTATAGTAGTTCATCGACGACTGTAAAACGTGTGTTAGAGCTGTCCTGACAATACTGGCTAATAAAGTGTGTTTCGATACTTCATCAAGTGTCGTTGTTATTCACTCCAAATCTACGAACTCCGTACGAACGTGAAGGAAGAAAATAACGTAACAACTGGTGTCAGGAAAGAAAAAAACCCAACAACTGGTGTCAGAAGTGGGATTTGCGAGTGAATGCCAGTGACTTGCCTGCAGTGGAAAGCCATGGCAGAGGAAACGAAGACTTTGATGGACTTCCTAGCCGAGATAAAAGCCGGATATGAAGAGATGAAGACTGAAATGAAAGCCGGATTGGCTGAGATAAAAGCCGGATATAAAGAGATGACAGCTGAGATCAAAGCCGGTCTGAAAGAGATGAAAGCTGGACTTGAAGAGAAGAAAACCCGGCGAGAAGAAATAAATGTCGGCCAAGAAAAGATGCGAGAGCAACTCCAACAGCTGAAAGTGGAGCTTGCAGAAGAAACTGGAGCCATAGAAGAAGATGTGAAAATGATAGTAGTGGCATCTGGAGAATCCAAAGGATGATAAAAGAAGTAGAACTGCCTGAGAAAGATCCTGGAAATGATCGGTGAAACATCTAACGAGATTAAAGAAAAAGAACGAAAACACGAAGAAATAAAAGACGGGAAGGAAGATTTTGATTTTCACGTGCCTGAAGTAGAGATAGAAGAAAGTGAAAATGCGACTGTCAAGTTCATAGAAACTGTTAGCGAAGTTATGAAAACGCAGTCAGCAAGTGTTGAACCATCTGTAAGTGCATGTGATGCAGAGATGGGAGAAGCTGATGCACAGCTTTAAGCAGTGTGCTCCAGTATTGCAAGAAAATTCACCCACCTCACAAATTATGTGTGCGACTCATAGTGCAGATTTTGCAGACAAAGACTTGATTTTAAACCTGGATACTTGCGTTTGGGAAGAATCGGGTTCCGTTCGCGAATATAATGCAAACATCGAAACTGGTTTTCATGAAATAGAGGTAAATAAGCATGTACCATCTGCTAAAGATACCGAGGTGAACTATACGCATTTATACTATACGTTAAATTGACAAATTAAATTGTGTGTAATCAAAACAATAAGCAAAATTACCATACGTTATATCAGAGGATTTTATTTTCTGTATACATGTTAAAAATTAAAATACTGAAACGTGTGATCATAATAACGAAATTTTATCTTTCACGGGTACGTATTTTAAATTCACGCAGTTAGCATAAATATTGATAAGTTTTTCCGAAATTAAAATTTTACCTCCATACAGTTTAGTGCTCTCAGTACGCATGCCACTCACAGAAATTTGAATTAATTCATAATTTACAATTCGATGAAAAATTCTATTTAAGTCTGGCAAAATAATTCGCCAGCTTAGTTCGCTTAAATGAAATGCTATGCATTGAAATTCTGATATGAAGAAACTAAATCAAGTAAATTTTGGTTTAAATGCAAAAGAATGTCACTAGTAGTTTAGTATTTATGATACTAATAGTAGACTGAATTACATTTTTTTTTTTTTTTTTTTTTTTTTTTTGCTTACGTGGATAAACTTTTGACTAAAGGTCATAAAGCAAATTTAGTGGTTGTAGAATTCTCCATCAATAGCCTCGAAGGAGATCACTGATAATATCAACTCATTTGTTAATATGAGTGCAAAGCAGGAAGCATAGGCCAAACATTGTGTCGTTATCATGCAGTATTTTTTACTTTCCATAGTTTGATACTTATATTTAGGTTGGTGTCAGCGCGACATTTATCACGCTATTACCAGCACCTCAGATAGCCCCGATTAGGAAAACCACACGTATAAATTGCGCAAAGGGGTGAATTACAGATACAATGAATTTTTGGAGGCCCAAGCCTAGGTAAGTTTGCGTGCAGCGGTAAGCATATGTATTAAAATATAGTAATGAGTGCATATTAATTAGTGTAAATGGCAGATTTAGACTAGGGATAAGAAACACAGAGGAATGAGGTAAAGATAGGAGTCAGAGAAATCTGATCCGCCGATGCCAGTCACATGGGTAGCACCCTCCCAAGTACTGACCCGAGCGAATAACGCTTGCAAAAAGAGGTGTAGCTGTAAATTCAAGAGAGATATCACAGCAGGTAGAAAAAAGTAGAAATTAAATGTCATATATTAATGCAGAGTGTAAATTATCTCTTGCTGCACTTTTAAGTCTGAACGTAAAACAGAGGATCGGGAGCGAAAGTGAGAAACCTAAGATGTGTGTAATTACCCAGCCTGTTATTTATCGGAGACATATTTTGTAAGTGAACATCAGTATCGCCACCGAGGGAGTGGCTTCTAGAATGGACCAACAGATTTCCAGTAATATTTCTGTCACTTCACATGACCTTTGCCTTGCTTTTAAGCAAAGTGGTTGAAAATGTTTTACCACGCGATTTCCTGTACAATTACATACTGTTATTCTGTAATTAATTCCCATTACATCGTGGAATTAAACCATCGTGGATTTCTTGTGAAAATTTTCAGTGCGAAATTAGATCAAATGTAAGTAATATTATATATGTAAATAATATAAGTCTTAGCACTTTTTATTACAGTCTATATAAAAAAAATATTCTATAATAAAGCCAATGCATAGATTTATTCGAAGTGAACTAATTTCCATTCCACATTTAGCGTGTTATATTTCACAGTAATATAGCTTTTCACTCTTAAAAGTATTGCCTGCACAAAAAAACTCTTCAAACAGAATGAATTTATGTTAATCACAATGAATATATTTAATTTATTCAGATATAATTTTTATGATAACAATAGGTATAATCAGATCATTCACAATGTATATTTTGAATCTTACACTTTAAAAATCAAGTAATGCAAGCATTGAAATAAGAAAATGCTAGATTCATTGTAACACTTCCAGTTATTCTCAGCTCAACAAAAAATTATACACTTGAATTGTTAGGAAATGTATAATATTCAAAGGTAATTTTGTAGCTTAAGTCATTTTCTCGTAAGAGCGATAATACGCCACAAACATCAATCCGAACATCAGTGGGCGACAAGTCTCGAAGTGAAATGTTGATAATTAAATAAACTTATAAAATGAAAGCACGATTTATAAACCATACATTTATAACTGCGAAACAAATGCAATACAAGACGTAAACAACAATATGCGCTCACACGCAGTTTCAAAGATTCAACGTCACAAGAGAAATAGAAGCTCATTGGTCCATGTTTGAAACTCCTCCCTCAGTGGCGATACTGATGTACACTTATGAATTATGCTGACCGAAGCGAACGCTGCTCGAAAAAGAAATTGTAATGAAACCAGGAATAATCAAAACAATTACTGGCGTTGGTGTTATTGAAAAATTAAATGTCGAAAGTGAGTAAATGGGTAACATATGGCCTGAGGTTGCAGTCAATTTCAATTTCAATACGACCAAAGAAAGTGAATGAATGATGTCCTTTGACAGAACTCCCGCCAACTGCTTTTTGTAATCAGTATAGCAAAGGATTAAATTTACTCCTGTTAATCTTCGGCTTTTATGTATGGTCAAAGACAAAAGAAAATCGATAGGAATTTATGAAATTGCTCTTGAAAATAAAACGAAAGAAATTTCTTAAAACGTAATTGTTCTCAAAATATTTTTTTTCTTGAAAGGGGCTTTATTTTATTTTACTTATTTTGTATTTATTTCTTTTGTGTGCAAGAAATGTCATTATTGGAAGAAGGACCGTTAACGGAAGATGATGCAAAATTTATGCTCCTCATTTCCAATAACGGTATCCATTAAACGATGTTTTTAATATTTTATATTCATATGCCTCGACTGGAAAGGACGAGACTTAGTTAACGAGAAATCCATTTTAAGCGAGTGCTGCGTTATAGATTCTATGCTTACCAATTGTACGAGTACTTTCTCTTCTAGTCTATTTACAATGTACGAGTACTTTCTCTTCTAGTCTTTCTGTTCTAGCCTTAGTTTTTGCAGCAAAGTGCTGTCTGAGGAAAAGCATTATTCTTACATACTTTCCACAGTCTGTGAAACAAATGCATGATTTGTTCTTGTAAATATTGCCATTGCCGCTGATTTTGCTCACAGTGCGTATTGACATTCAGAAATGTATCTATGTCAATATTTTAGCACCAATATATCAGTTTTGTAATAAAT